CCAAGAGAGCCCCAAAAGAGCCCCAAGACGGCCCCAAGAGCGCCCAAGAGCACTCCAAGAGCGTTCCAAGAGGGGTCCAAGAGGCGATTTTAGGGGCTTCCGAGGGGGGCGCTAATTAAACCCCCCCTCTTGTTTGATCGACTCCCTCCAAGATGGCCCCAAAAGCGCCCCGAAGGCTCCCCAGAGCGCCTCAAGAGGGTCCCAAGAGGCGCCCAAGATGCCCCAAGGCGCCCAAAAAGCCCTCCAAGAGGCCCTCAAAAGACCCCCAAGAAGCTCCTTCCCCTCCTCCTCCTCCTCCTCCGATTCTTCCTCCTTCTCCGTCCTCCTCCTCCTCCTCCTCCTCCTCCTCTTCCCCCTCCTCCTCCTCCTCCTCCTCGACGACGACGACGACGACGACGACTCCTCTTCCATCCTCCCCCTCTCGGGGTCTGTGACAGCTTCCCCCGCCCTTTGTTATTCTGCATGCTCCCCGACTTCCCTGATCACCTCAACTCCCCTGAGCATCGTTTCTGGATGGGCTGGTGGGGATACGCGAAGCGTCAACAATTCGGAGGAGCACTCCCCCAGATCCTTGGCCAACAGGCATGGGCACTGGGGTGTGAAGCGCCCCAGGACTTGTCGCTGCAGGAAGAGGAGGAGGAACGACAGTCGTAGGAGAAGCAAGTCGTGCAGCAGCAGTAAGTGTAGTAGTGGCAACAGAAATATTGGCACGGGGGCGTCAAGCAGTAGAAGGAATTAGAATAGTTGTTGCAGCTGTGATACAGTCGCAGTCGTGGTCGAAGTCGTAATCACAAAAACAATACCAATAGTGGTAGCCAATGACAACAGAAATTGCAGCAGCAGCAGTAGTAGCAGTAAATGCAGAAGTAGCAATAGCAGAACAAAAAAACAAAAGTCGTAGCCGCAGCCATGGAGGTACTAGTACGAGTAGGAATAGTAGTGATAGTAGTAGTGGCCGACGTAGTAGTAGTAGCAGTAGTAGTAGCAGCAGTCAGAGTAGTAGTAGCAGCAATAATAGTAATAGCAATATTGGCAGTGGTCAGGGTAAAATTAGTAATAGTACGAGTACTATTAGTAGTAGTAGTAGTAGCAACAGTAGTAGTAGTAGTAGTAGTAGTAGTCGTAGTAGTAGTAGTAGTAGTAGTAGTAGCAGGAGTAGTAGTAGTAGTAGTAGTAGTAGGAGTAGTAGTAGTAGTAGTAGTAGTAATAGTAGTAGTAGTAGTAGTAGTAGTTGTAGTAGTAGTAGTAGTAGTAGTAGCACTTAGAAGCAATAGTAGTAGTACGAATACTAGTACTAGTACAAGTACTGGTACGAGTGGGAGTACTAGAAGTTGTAGTAGTAGCAGTAGCAGTAGTGATAGTAGTTGTCATAATAATAAGAACACAAAGTATAATAATGATTGATCGTAGTACTAGTCACCGACGTCGTACTAGAAATAGGAATGGTGATAGGAATGATGGTTATATTAAACGTCGCAGCGCCAATGATAGCAATAGAACAACAACGAGAATCATGTTAATAGTCATTGGAATCGTACTAGCACGAAGAGAGAGAGAGATATCAGTACTAATACAAATCCGAGTACTAATACTAGTACGAGTAGTAGAAATAATAATAATAATAATCGTAGTAGTAGTCGACGTAGTAGCGATGGTAGTAGCACTAGTGGTAACAGCAACGGAAAATAACAGTAATACGGATCAGTGTGGTAGTCCTGGTGAAACTTGTACGAGCGACCAGAAGATTTGTTTAACAATGGTAGTAGTAGTGGTAGTAGGAGTAGTAATCATAAACGCAGTGGTACTAGTAGTAGTCGTAGTAGTAGTAGTGGGCGTAGCACTGGTACTATTACGAATACGGTTTGATTTTAATAAAGAACAGTCGTAGTAGCAATAATTAAACGAGTACGACTGCTAGTTATAGTACTGGCTCGAGCTCCTGATATATATATATATATATATATATATACATAGACATACATCTAGACAAACGAATTTCAATAGCAGTAGTAGTTTTACTACTACTGCTGTGAGAAGTAATCGTAGTCGCACTATAATAGCAATAATACCAATACTATTACTACTACTACTACTACTACTACTACTACTACCAGCACTAATACTAGGATTAGTAGTAGTAGTAGTAGTAGTAGTAGTAGTAGTAGCAGGAGTAGTCGTAGCAGTAGCAAGATTAAGAATGATGTAAGCAGCAACAAAGAGGTACTAGTAGTAGTAATAGTCGTCGTAGTAGTAGCAGTAGTAATAGTAGTCTTAGAAGAAGCTAGCATAAAAGTAACTGTGCAAGTATAATGCCTGGAAAAAATGAAATTTACATCAACTTCGCGCGAGCGGCGGCCCCTCGGGGTCCCCAAGAATACCCCGGGCGGACCCCGAGCAACTCCCGGGCAACTCCCGGGCAACTCCTGGGCAACTTCTTGACAACTCTTCGGCAACTTTTGGGAAATTCCTGGGCGGTCGGCGCAAGGGATGCAGAACTCCCGGGGGGCGGTCCTCGGGGCCCTCCAGATCACCCAAGGAGCGCCCCAGTGGACCCCAAGGAAGCTCCAAGAGGCCTCAAGAATCGGGATCAATAGGTGGTCGGCCTCAAAGTGGCCCGGGAACAATCCCGACATGCCCCAAGACAGGCCCAAGAGGGTCCCCAAAAGCTAAATGTTGTTAGTTGTAAATCGGTTTGCGAAGGATTTGGGCGCTACCGCCTTTCCGCGCTTCCGACCGCCCAAGACGACCCAAGAGGCCCCCAAGATCGCCGCATGTCAGACCTAGAGGCTCCCAGGACGGCCCCAAGACAGCCCAAGAGAGCCCCCATCAGGCCTCCCACGAGGGTTCCAGAAGCTCCAAGGAAGGCCCCTCAAGGGGACATCTGAACTGACATGTCGAACCCTGCCCCGCAAGATGGCCGCCGAAACCGCGAGCCTGCCCACGAGAGGACCCCAAGATACCCCCCGCAAGCGCAATGGACCCCCCCAAGAGGCCCCGAAGAAGCGCCAGGAGGTCCCAAAATTATGCCACGAGGCTGCCGAGAGGCCTCCGAAGAGACCACGAGAAGCCCCCGAAACAGTCGCCATGTCCACGACCCAGATTGGCCCCAAGAACGCCCCATGAAGCCATCGAAAGGCCTCATCCTCATCCTGCCCTCTCCTCTTCTTCCTCCCCCTCCTCCTCCTCCTCCTCCTCCTCCTCATCATCATCATCATCAGCAGCAGCAGCAGCAGCATCTTCAGCATCACCATCATCATCATCATCAGCAGCAGCATCATCAGCAGCATCAGCATAAGCAACAGCAATCGTCGTCATCGTCATCAGCAGAATCATCGTCATCACCATCATCAGCAGCATCATCATCATCAGCATCAGCATCAGCATCCTCATCATCACCAGCATCATCGTCATCATCAGTATCATCATCAGCAGCATCATCAGCATCATCATCATCAGCATCATCATCATCCCCGTCCTACTCCTCGTCTTCTTCCTCCTCCTCATCATCATCATTTCCCTCCTCTTCCTCCTCCCCCTCCTCCTCCTCCACCTCCTCCACCTTCTCCGTCTCATCATCATCATCATCAGCAGCAGCATCATCATCTTCGTCATCACCAGCACCGGGACGAGGAGGGAAGGAGGGGCATAGGGGGAACGAGAAAGTGGAGGAGGAGGAGGAGAAGGCAAAAAAGTAGGCGAGCGCTGGCCTGAACTCTCAGAATGAGCGCTGCTCGCAGGGGCGAAGGCGGGGAGCACCATGGTTTGGGGCCTCTCCTCCGGGGCCCCAGATGCGGACCGAGATAGGCGCGGTCCCCAAAGGCTCCGACCAGAGCATTTCCTGCATGATTCAAGGTCGATAAGGACTTCGGCCAGCGCCCCTATGAGGAGGAGGAGGAGGAGGAGGAGGAGGACGAGGAAGAGAGGGAGGAGGAGAGGGAGGAGGAGCAGGAGGAGGAAGAAGAGGAGCACGATGAGCAGGAGCGTTGGCGGGAGGAAGATGAGCTCGGAAAAGAGGAGCCTGGAGGCAGAGGGACGAGAGGCAGGGAGAAGACATGACCAGCGAGGAAGGGCGGCCGCCGAACTCTCCCGCCCTCCTCGGGCGTAGACAGGCTCTCTCTGCCCCCCCCGTCCCTGTGCGTCGTAGGCCGACGAACAGTGGTGCCGCTTCGATGCGGGCTTCGTTGACGCAGACGACCGATTCTGTAGCCGCGTGGCGGCGCGACGCCGTGACGCCCAGCTCCTCGTGCAGCCTCTGCTTCGCGGTCGTGGTGCGCCCTGCTTTTCTCCGCCCACGCACCGATGGGCGTATGGCCTCTTGACCCCCCGTCCGAGGAGGAGGAGGAGGAGGAGGAGGAGGAGGAGGACAAGGAGGACGAGGAGAAAGAGGAG